ACATATCTGGGAACTGTAGTCTTGTGAGACATTCAGCCTTCTCTGTCAAGAGTTCTGGTACCACAATTCCCAGGATTCCCTAGCACTGAGCCCGGGCAGTTACTCAGACTGGATTATTTCTGCAATGTGTTTGGGATTATTCTTACACACAACTGGCTTATATATAGGTCTGTCTCTGGACTCTCTACTTCAAACATGCATCTGAGGAAGGAGGCTCAAGTCTACGAAAGTTCATGCTCCCATCTTTCTTTCAGTTAGTCTCAAGGTGCTGCAATAAGATCCCTTTGCATTCGACTCCAGAGACCAGGGTTCAATCGACCATGGAAAGCTGCTGGGTGGCCCTGGGGTAGTCACACTCTCTCAGCCTCGGGGGAAGGGCCAAGGCCAGCACTGAACAATTCCTGCCAAGAAAATCCTATGAGAGGGTTGCCATAAATCAGAAATGACTTCAGCTCAGCACACAAAACACACACCGCGAATTATTATTCTGAGATTCATTTGAAAAAGTTTGAAATAAAACCATGAACTGGTTTCCAGCAAGGCAATATTTGCCTTGAGAGACAGTGTGGTGTAGTGTTTTGAGTGTTGGACTACGACTCTGGAGTCCAGGGTTCAAATCTCAGCTAGGCCACATAAAAACGTACTGGATGACCCTGAGCCAGTCACACTCTCTCAGCCTGAGAGGATGGCAATGGCAAACTCCCTCTGAATAAACTTGCCAAAAAAAAATCCCACATTAGGGTCACCTTACGGTCGCCATAAGTTGGAAACAACTTGAAGGAACACAACAACACACAACAACACAAGCAGCTCCAACTATGCTCTTGGACGTTCACCCCCAGCCCAGCAAACCATCCTCAGCTCCAAAACCCAAACCCAGAGTGACCAGATGTCCTAACTGCAAAGGAAGAGACAAGTCACCACAAAATGTAGGACAATCAATAAAAATGGAGGACATGGTAAAACAGAAGCTAAAAACACTTATAGAGATGTCAATTCATGCTTCTTGGCCATGCTCAAAATGTAGAACCTTTTGGAATTCCTCCCACACAGGAGGAGTAAATGTAGGACATGTCTTGGAAAAGGAGGACCTCAGGTCACCTTGCCAGATGTCCCCCCACCACAAAGGAGGGAAAAGCACCACGAAATGGAGAACATTCAAGAAAAATGTAGGGCAATGACAACATAGAAGCTAAAACACTCTTATAAATATCAATTCAAGTTTCTTAGTCCTGCTCAAAATGGAAGACATTCTGAGACAGAAGGCTGAGATGGAGGACATGCCCTGGAAAAGGAAATATACACCCATGCTTCTTAGTCATGCTTAAAATGGAGGACATTTTGGGAATTCCTCGTGGATGGAAGGCTGAAAGGGCAGGCCTGTCCTGGGAAAGGAAATATAAATTAATGCTTCTTAATCATGCTCAAAATGGAGGACAGAAGGCTGAAAGGAAGGACCTGTCCTGGAAAGAGAAATATAAATTAATGTTTCTTAGTCATGCTCAAAATGGAGGACAGAAAAAGGTAGGGCCTGTCCTGGGAAAGGAAATATAAATGTATGCCTGAGTCCTGCTCAAAATGGAGGACAGAAGGCTGAAAGGGCAGGCCTGTCCTGGGAAAGGAAATATAAATTAATGCTTCTTAGTCATGCTCAAAATGGAGGACAGAAAAAGGTAGGCCTGTCCTGAGAAAGGAAATATAAATATATGCCTCTGAGTCCTGCTCAAAATGGAGGACAGGAGGCTGAAAGGAAGGACCTGTCCTGGGAAAGGAAATATAAATTAATGCTTCTTAGTCATGCTCAAAACGGAGGACAGAAAAAGGTAGGCCTGTCCTGAGAAATATAAATATATGCCTCTGAGTCCTGCTCAAAATGGAGGACAGAAGGCTGAAAGGTAGGACCTGTCCTGGGAAAGGAAATATAAATGTATGCCTCTGAGTCCTGCTCAAAATGGAGGACAGAAAAAGGTAGGCCTGTCCTGGGAAAGGAAATATAAATTAATGCTTCTTAGTCCTGCTCAAAATGGCGGGCAGAAGGCTGAGAGGGAGGGCCAGCCTGGTGACCGTGACCCCACCGGGGCCCATGGCGCTGCTCCTGACCTACCTACCCTACCGGCTGAGAGGGAGCCTTTCCTGCCCACCGGCCACAAGCGCCAGCCAGAAAGAGCCGCAGCGAAGCCAGGAGCGGTCGCGCGCCGCGTTCAAATCCTCTCCGGCGGCCAATCAGCGGAGCGGCTCCGCCTCTGAGGCCTCGCCTGACTGGCTGCTTTCTGGGAGCTTCCAGCGTAAAAGCCCCTCTTTGGCCTTTGAGGGCAGGAAGGAGCAGTTTTTGTAACGGTTTCCCAGTGGTGGGCCTTGCTTGCTGCCTTAAAAGGTCCCAAACCCACTGCAGAAATAATCCCCTTTGACACCTCCTTAACTGCCCTGGCTCAATGCTAGGGGATTCTGGGAACTGTAGTTTTTGGGAGACTTTTTTTTTTACCAGTGGTAAAATGCTACTACCCCTGGTCTTTTTTCTTTATAATATGCCCCCCTTTCCCCCCCTACTTTAATCTCAGCTGCTTTTGTGGGTGCTGAGCATTATGTGCCATTTTGCATCATGATTATGCAAAGAACAGTTTCTGTATTTACACAAGTCCAAAACGCACCGCAGAAATAATCCGGTTTGAGACTGCTTTAACGGTCCTGGCTCAATGCTAGGGAATTCTGGGAACTGTAGTTTTGTCAGATATTGAGCCCTGTCTGACAAAGAGCTCTGGTGCCACAATAAACTACAATTCCCAGGATTCCATAGCACTGAGCCAAGGCAGTTAAAGTGATCTCAGCCTGGATTATTTCATTCTGCAGTGTGTTTTGGACCTAAAGAGTTTCAACTCTTTTCTGACCAGACGTGGTCCTCCTTTTCCAGGACATATCCTCCATTTCAACCTTCTGTATGTCCAGGAGCGATTCCCAAACGTCCTCCATTTTGAGCGTGGTTTTATATTTATATTAGTGTTTCTAGCTTTTATTTGGTAATTGTCCTACATTTTTATTGAGTGGACTACATTTTGCGGTGCCTTGTCCTCCTTTGTAGTGGGTCACTCTGTCCTAACCGCAGAGGAGGACGAGGTACCGTAAAATGTAGGACAATGTAAGAAAAAAATGCAGGACATGACAACATAAAAGCTGTATAAATATAAAATCATGCCTCTTTGTCAAGCTCAGAATGGAGGACATTTTGGACTTGTCATTAGAAAAGTTGAAAAGTGGGATGTTTCCTGGAAAAGGAGGACATCTGGTCACCCTGATGATGGGGTTTTCCTGGCAAGGTTCTTCAGAGGAGGGTTTG